ACCAAGAACGCCTGCCTCTTTTCTGGGGATATCTCCTTGCAAATGAAAACTGGTCGCGGTGGTTCCCCAAGTGGGGCGAGGTTTATTTCCTCGAGCTCCTGCTCCTGTGGCTTAGGACAATTCTTCATGCATTTTGGCGCGGGGACCGCGTTAGTGGGCATCGCGGTGATGTTGGCCTCTGCTTTATGCACCTCATCTCAGGGACTCACCCTCCCGGCCTCGTAAGTGGTCCCCCTACACCATCATAACTGGTAAGTGACTCGCCCATCAGGTAGGACGCGACGGATACATCTCTTTGGGGTCGCCTCTCGCGAGGGCTCTTCAACTTGCCTTTTTTCTCGGGGCCACTCTCCGAGCCTTTCTTTCACACTAACCCTTCGTAGTGTTATGTAGACTTCTCGCTGAACCTCCTCCCAAGACGGGATAGGGAAGGACAAGGGCTGCTGTAGTGGACAGGTGACTTCGTCATCTTCAGCCACTTCATCGTATAGTGCTTCCTCAGCCAAGTGTGCCTTATTGCTGCTAAAAGGGTCCTCGATCGCGGGTATCATCACTTCCTTTCCATTCCAAATCATCTTTATGCACTAGTGGTACGTAGAAGGGATTGCTCCTAGATCATTCATCCAAGTGTGCCCCTGGAGCGCATGATAAGTTGTAGGAGCATCGACCATGTGGAAGGTCGTGGGTACCCTCACCTTCCCTATGACCAAAGAGACAGTGACATACCCGAGGGTCCTTCTTTTATTACTGGCGAATCCAGCGATGAAAGTCATTTTTCTGACTAAACTTGACTCGCGAAGTCCAAGCTGCTCATATATGGACAAAGCATGACATTAACTGAGGCCCCCATTGTCTAGAAAAGTCCTTTTCAACTGTACCCCATTGATCTTGGTGGTGACGTAGAGCAGACGATTGTGCTTCTAGGGTACCTGGCGATCCCGCTCTGTGAAGGTGATGGCATTAGACCTTTTCTTGATACTATGGGACACCAAGCCTTCCGCAGCATGCACTTCTCGGGCCCTAAGAGCCCATCAGCACGCAAGTCTATGATGGCCTTGGTGGTTGCCAATCTGGTACCATCAGTAAGTCCCAACTGATTAAAGAAATTTTTAAACTTGACTGTTTCCTTTAAGATACATGCACTCGTGTAGGGGTCAATTTCTGGCACATCGTGACACTCTTCTAAGGTCTCTTGATTTAATTGGATTTTAGGCCACTCTTCGAAGTTTCCTTCTGTTATATCCTTAATTTTGTCGTAGAACAACACCATGTGCACCTCTTTACCTTCTTCGTAGTCTATGAGAGGTTGATCATGGACATTGCCCTCGGCGCCCATTAGTACCAACTCTCCACTCTTTAAGCACTTTTGAAATAGTCGGCACATGGTCCAACAATCCTTAAGGTTTTGCTTGGAGTGGCGATGAAATTCACAGAAGGTCGGGCTATTTTTTTCGTCTCTAGTTGGCTCCTTTTCCACTGTTGGTAGCTCGACATCGTAGTTCTTAATCTATTCCATGAGAATCTGTCGGACTTCCTTTATACCACAAGGATACAGAGGTGGCTCCTTAGGCTTGGAGACTTTCCCCCGCTTCTTTGGTCACTAACCCTCCTTCGGGACCTCTTCAACAACTTCAGCAGCTGCTCCTTTCCTCTTGTCCTTCCAACCAGCTATCTTCAGCGAGGGCTGGACCACCTCCGAAAGCCTTTGAACAGATTCACATAGCCTAGTAAAGGTTTTAAATTCACTGTTCACCAAGTATGCCTTGTATTTATTGTGCATTCCATCAATGCAGATTCGAACAAGGGCCTTTTCGGTGACATTTTCTTAGCACTCAATGGCTTTATCACAAAACTTGTCAATGTATGTCATTAGGGCTTCCCCATTATCCTGGATAATCTTTGTCAGGGAAAGTACCGTAGTACACTGCTCGACGTGAAAAAACTTTGCATAGAATTGTGTGACCAAGTTGTCCCAATTCCTCACTGATTCTACCGGGAGGTTAGCATACCAGGTGAAGGCTTTGTCCTTGAGGGACTTGGAAAATTTCCTCATCTGAAGAGGCTCAGGAGTACATAATGACCAAGGCTATCAAGATATCGCATAATGTGCTCCCTAGGGTTGCCATTTTTCCCATCAAACTTCGGCGGTGAGTACCCTGCAGGATACATGGCTTGCTGCATAGCCGGGGTGAACTTAGACCTTATGTCCATGATCGTCGACATAGGCTCTTTCTGTCTATCTAGCAAGACCTGTATTTGGGCTAGTGTGACAAACCCAGCACTAAGCACTGGTCATTCTGTGCTAGCCGAGTACGGCGTCCAAGCGGTCGTTGATGAAAACAAGGTAGAGGCGATGGGGCCAAAAATGCTGAAAGAGTTTGACCCCACACTTGGGTAGTTGTCGGTGTTGTTGTAGAGATGGTGAGAAGAGCCATCTGGGAAGCTGCGAGGCCATAGTTGTAGCCAGCCGCAATGCGCTCACATCCGAGAACCGTCGGGAAGTTTAGGAAAGGTGCACCTGTTGTGGTTATGGGTATGACCACGGTGGGTACCTCGGAGGTTATGACATTTTGAGGGCCCGTCACAGCTATTTGCTGTAGAGGAGTAAGAGATCCCGTTGCGATAGTTTGCTGCAAAAGTGCTAGAGGGTTGCCTGTGGTAGTTTGTTGTGAAGGAACCAGGGGGTTAGTTGCATCAATTTGTTGTGGAAGTTGTAGGGGTTCACTGGTAGGGTTTTGCAAAGTTAAGCCATAGGGGCTCGACTTCCGTGATGCACCATTATCGCTCGACAGTGCCATTGGAAGAGATGCATGCAAAGTCAAAAGTGGTGGCACTGGATACTGCGGGAGCAATGGTAAGAACATTGGTGGGTTTTGCAAGCCAGGTGGTAATCCAGGTGGTCGAAAATACATCTGAGCTTGAATCATCTGCATTACAGCAGCCATCTGTTACTGCAGAATTTGCATATTGTGCAGAGCTTGCGCCATTACGGAGGGCCTTGGCACCTCCGTAGCCCTTCGACTCGTAGAGGAACCATGGCTATTCTCGTGCTGGGGTGGGCTTTTCTCCTGCTTGCCTTCCTTGTCGTTGTTGTTTTCGGTCATCGTATTAGACAATACTTTTCCACTTCGAGTTGTAATAGGGATAGACTAGCGAGGACAAACCTTCCCCAGTAGAATCGCTAAAAGAATATAGGTGGGGAGTTAAAAGAGGTTGACACACGTGTCTATGCCAAGTGTAATCGAAGGGAGTGAGTAGGATAAGTGGATGGGATGGAAGGAACTCGAGCAGCCTGTTAATGGAGGGACAAATCAGTTAGGTAGAGGGTAAGTGAAAAATATTCTCACCAGCCAGAAAAATCTTCCTCTGCAGTGGGCAAGTAATGTGGATATTTATAGCATAGTGTTTGGGTAGGTCGAGCTGCCCAAAGGGCTGTCCGCCGTGACCCCCTACTACTCGCGCTAACCCATAACTGCCTCGACTGTGATGATACCAATAGCCATTAACGACGAGTTTTACGTCACAACATTAACTAGACAGATATGATGTTTCCCCAAACATAACCTAGACATGGCCCTAAGGAAGGTGCAATAGTTAAGGTGAGGGCAAGCTCCCAAGGTCCACGACTGCGACTGGTCATCGTGGGACCATGACCTTGAGAGGGTCATGTTCGCGATGCCCCCAGCGCACTGCTATCTAAGGTCCTTCTTTCTCTCTCTAAACCCTTCCTCGAGACCTTTGTCAAGGTGGCAGATAGAAGAAACTTACATAGTTTTGGTCATTCAGCCACCAATCCACATGTCCCATCATTCAATATACTAATCCGAACCAATAACCCCAGTTACCTTAGGAGTCTCTCCGGATCCCAATTAAGCGCATCCCAACGGGTAGTGAGCCATACACTAGGAGGCCTAGTTGAGTAGACTAAACCTTCGAGACCTTACCCCAAGTCGAGGTTGACAATCATGCTTATCCATCCCCATTGCTCAGTTTTCCCTTGAGGAGGACCGTACTTCCATATCCCTAGATGGGGACATCTCATCTTAGTCCAGTGGCTCGATTGAGAAATGGTGTCCAATAGGTTGAGGATACCACTCCTGCAATGAGGGAGACGAGTTTTGTCGTGGTTGCACCATACTTCTGCGATACAATTCCCGCAAAGGGGCGTCGCGCCCAAGAATGCTGCACTTGATATTGTTGTCTATACCAGTTCAGTTGAACTCTGTCAGGCCTCATTTTTATGTCAATTGATAATCGTTGCCACTTGTCTTGTTATAGCGGAGACACGTGTTTTTTAAGTTTTTCGAGTACTACATTTGCCCCCTGTGCGCGCCAAGTCATGGGAAGCGTTCTACGCGCGCACACCATTTTTCATCCGCACTTGTCGTTTGACTACAACTATCTGACCGTGGTGCCGATGAAAATATGTGGGTATAATTGACTTTATGATAATAATTAAGAGTGAAATAGGAAATCAAAATTTTTGCTGACATTTATAAGTAATTAAGGGTGAAATAAGAAATTCAAAATTTTTCACATATACTGACATTTATAAATAGTATAGATATAAATATAGATATAAATTATTAATTTTGTATAAAATTTTGTTGGGATTTAAATTTTTAGATCGGATATATGATTATTAACGGATATGATTATGGAGTAAAACTTTAAAATTCGTTGAGTAAAGCGAACAAATTCAATTTTTTATCGGATCCGATCCAGATCCGTTGACAGCCCCCGACATGCAAGTATGCGAATCTGGGCAATCCAGGCAAAAGAAATGGGCGCACTTTCATCGGCATGAACCAATGGTTTTCAAGTTCAACAAAGCAAACACAAGTACAGGAGTCGGCGTCCACCGTCTTTACTACAGTCGGCAACTCGATTACTCTATCTGTGTGGAAGATAGAGGCGGAACCCTAGCTCCGCTCAGCTCAGTCGGAGAATCTCGCCGGAGCCCTGATTTTTAAGAACCCTAGCTCGCAGAAGAGCGCAATATGGGGAAGAAGCAACACAGCAAGGACCGTATGTTCATCACGAAGACGGAGTGGGCCACCGAATGGGGCGGCGCCAAATCCAAAGAAATTCGGACCCCTTTCAAACGTCTCCCCTTCTATTGCTGCGCGTACGATTCTCCTCTCTCTCTCTCTCTTAATTTATATGCTTTCATATTTGTATTGATTTAATTTTGGAATAGCCTTTGACTTTGTAGATTTTCATTGCAGTCTCACGTTTACCCCTTTCGAGGACCCAGCGTGCACAGAGGATGGCAGCGTCTTCGAAATAATGTAATTATCTCTGCAACCTCTCGCCAAGTCTCATTACTCAATTGCAATTTGCATTCTAAGCAGATTTCAATTGTATTTTTTTTTATTTTGGTAAAATTACCGAGTTGTATTGGATTTGTTTTAAAATTCGGGTGCAGGAACATAATTCCGTACATCAGGAAGTATGGGAAGCATCCCGTTACAGGTGCTGCGCTCAAGCAAGAGGATCTCATCCCACTGGTGTTTCACAAGAATTCCGAAGGTATTTACTCATGTATTTGCTTGATTTTAATTTTGGGAACATTCAAGTAGTGGCTGGTAAAGAATGTAGGAATATATAACAAATGGGGCATGGTTATTATATTACTGATAAAGTGAGAAATCAAACTAAAAGAAACTGCATGAATAACTTGAGCTTAGTGTAGCTGAAACTTGAATGCATAGTATAAGAGGAAGGAGACACTAAATTCATTCAATGACATAAGCATTTTCCTCTTCATATAGATCTGCTTTTATAGGAAGAATGCCAATAATTAATTCTTAGGGGGCATAACTTCTGATCAGTTGATTGAAGCAATTTATGTGTGCTTTACAAGAACACTTGAAGTGTTTTTGGGACACAAGTGAATCTGTGTAGTAGTAGTTAAAATTATGTATGCCGAGTGATTTGAGGTATTGTTTCATGCAGCTTCGACAAAGTGAAGTTGGTCCTTTCAAGAGAGATGCAAACATTTGTAGGATGTAACAATTAAACAGTTGACATAGGAAGTTACGGATTGTGTGATGATTGGGGATGTTCTGCATTTATCTGGCGGCCTTGTGATTTATTATGCTTTGGGGTGTGGTGGTTCATCGTTTTTTTAGTCAATATTGGTATTTACAAGAAGTTGTCTGATAGAGGAGTTCTATATGCAATCCCCTCCTAGTGCCCTTGATTAATGAGGATCAAGCTGGATAATGACCCTTTACGACCCTTTTCTTTGATATATGAGCTCCTTCCATGCTAGAAAAATCACTAGAAATGGATTTTAAGAGGTGATTTTTTTTACTGGCATTGCTACATTGCAGTTGATTAGTGTTTCATGAACTGCAAACAATGAGCACGAGGTTAGAAAAGGGAGAGTATGAGTGATGATTTACTCGAGCTTGGGATCAATAGTCAGTTGGTGACTTGATTTAGTACATTTATTACAGTCTAGGTAAACACAGATGCTTAAGAATTCATTATCTTTTGTTATGTTCAACTCAGTGATGACAAAAGAAAGTAATATGTTGCATATCTTCAATTTTTTGTTAATGACATGAACTTTTCAGCCTCCGCCCAAAATACTCCTGTCACTTAATAGTCATGTACATCACTATAAAATACAGGTGTTTTCCTGCTGTATATATTATTCTCAGATATTTGTTTTATGTTCTACTGGCCATAGAATTCTTTTGGAGTACTATTTCTTTTAGATTCATCTTAATTTTTTTGCAGGGGAGTATCACTGCCCGGTGTTGGACAAGGTTTTTACAGAATTTACCCACATAGTTGCTGTAAAGACAACAGGAAATGTGTTCTGCTATGAGGTTTGTTCCTTCATCAGTCATAGTGTTTGTATGTTGGTTCTCTCATTTCTTGTACATTATGCTTCTGTTCTGCTTTGAAGCCATTCCAATTTGAGAAGTACATGAATAAGAAAATTTTCAAGTGTATGTATGCATCATGTCATTCAAGGTCTGTTTCAGTGGGAGGTAATGAAATAACCTATCTGACCAGGATTGAGGCATGAATGAGATAGTCATCATCTAAACAGTAGTAATCCTACTGTCTGGCAAATCCATTCTTTGCTCTTTTGAAGCACCTAGTTTGGCAGGCCTCCCCCCCCCTTTTTTCCTCTTCTTCTTTCTCTCTCTGGAACCCATGGCGATGGTACTCTCATTTGTGGAATCACATAGTCAGATGTCTCTATTCTCTAGTTATTTCTCATCTCTCGTGAAAGCTCCAGTGCATCTCTATTTGTCTTTTAAGTTTTTTGACTCTTGAGAAATATGAGTATATAACAAACTGTGGAATATGGATTAGTTCTTATGCTGTCCCTATTTGAAGGAAAAAAATGCTTATGCAACGGAACTTAGGTTTATTCATGAAAGTTCAGTTAAATGGCAACATGATAAGTGCAAGATAGAGTTTGAAATGTACATAGGGGTGTTAATTGAGCTGAGTTTTGGTGAGCTTGAGCCCGAGCTTGTCTTTAAAAAATTGTTCATGATCGGCGTGTTTAGAAAATGAACTGAGTTCGAACCCGGGCCGAATTCCGAGTAATTCTACTATTTTACATATAAACGAGCTTAAAAAATTGTTTAAAATCATTCGTTTAGAATACGAGCTTGAGCTTGAACCGAACTTGAGTTGCTTGTCTCGATTAACACTCCTAAATGTACATATGTTATCCAAGGTTTCATGAAATGTCATTCATATCTCCTCCTCTATTATCTGAGGTACATATCAACATTGAAAAATATGTGATGTTACTAAGTGCTATTGTTAGGTTGACTGTTTATGTGACTATTGAAAAGAACGCTTTTGGTGAAGAAAAGTGTAATACTTGTACTTATATCTAAGAAACAAATTTCGTTTCTGGGCATTGTTTCGATCACCTTATAAATGAAAATGTTTCGGATATATTTCGAAAAAGTTTCGAAAACATAGCGGAAACAGATAAAAATTTTGGGGCTTTATTTTCAAATCATTCCAGACCATTAATCAAAATATACCAAGGGTTTCAGTTTTGTTTGTCGTAATTTTCACCCAACTTTTTATATAAACCAAACAATATGTGTACTTATTAGTACTTGTATTTTTCCTTTCCTTATTGTACAAAAGGTTTAAAATATCGGCCTAGAGTTGTATCCGTCTTGGCCACCTTCATTTCGATATTGCTAAATGTTACGAGAATATCACTAGATTCATCTGAATCTATGCTGACTTGGAGGTATCGGCCCAACCATGGTTACCGCAATTTACTAATCCCTTAACAATCCACGATCTGGGTCCATTGATCCCAAACGAGATGGGTTCGTGATCTAGATTACCAAAATAGATGACTCTAAATTGTAATACTAACCTTAAATCAATTCATTTTATAACATGTAGTATAAATTTAAAATATATATTAATTGACTACATGTATATAGATTTATAATTATATATTGTTTTAGATAATAGAAAATCAAGCACAACTATAAGATAAATGATAACTATCTTAGTGTTTATGAATGTTCTGTAATATATAATGTTGTATAGTAGTGAAAACGATCTACGTAAGAGTTTCAAAACGAATTGCGGTCAAAAATACCGTATATGCTAAACCTACCTCCATTGTACCACGTATCTAAGAAATTGTCGTATCATGTACCTGTACGCGTACCATGTATCAAAGCGACACACGATCCAGGTAACATTGGGTCCAACTTGGAGTCAAATCATTTGACTCAGACCGATACCACTAGAGTCGGCCTCGGCCTCGGCCTGCAACTGTGAAAACAACAAAAAATAAAGAAAAAAGAAAAACAGACTTGTGGACAGTCCAGTCAGTTCGATCCATGGATGAATAAACCAAATGAATAGGGAATGAAATGAATAATCAAAAATAAGAGACTTACCTCTGGTGAAAGCACATGTAAGATGTAACTCATCAAATATTAAACCTTAAATTAGGAACCCCTCTTATTCTTCAGCTACAAGAAGCAGAGGCCAAGCTTCATCTTTTTGCTTCCCAAACAACGATAGCCTCAATTTGATTGAAATTTTCGCTCTCTCTCTCTCTCTCTCTCTCTATACATACATACATATATATATATATATATATCCTAGCATGTCTCTTAACCATGTCGGACGTTGTAAAGATGGCCCACTGTTATAAAGTATTATAAGTATAATACTATTCCACTTAACTAATGTATTAATAAATTTCCTAATTAATATATTAGGTGATATATTTACACACTAAAATTTCTTACAATTTTTTTATGTACCCCATACATAAATCGAAACAATTTTTTTAAATTGTTTCACTATATTTAATGTGTTTGATGATGCAGTTTGGACATGTAATGCATAGATGTTGTTCATATTTATTAAGATTTTTTATGATTTTTTTTAGAATTTTTGGGCCTTATATCTAGCATTTTTTGCATATTGGCCGATACTGTGCCAAGACGCCGCGATCGGTGTGTAGCAATGCCCTCCAAGTTGATGGCTGATGCCGTGATCTTGAATCATGATTGTACTAGCTCTTGGTTTATGTTTGTATTCATCTATTTGGTTTTGTTACATAGGCAATCAAAGAACTAAACCTTAAGACTAAGAATTGGAAGGAGCTTCTCACTGATGAACCATTCACCAAGGAAGACCTAATAACAATTCAGGTAAATCTGGCTCTATTTTTCTGTCCTCCTGCCTGGCTGTGATGAAATTTTGTTTTTAACTTCTAACAGCCGGATTATAACAAGGTTGTCCTAACTGATGTTATGCTCAGTAGAATCCGAATGCACTTGATGGCAAAGTTCTCTTGGATTTTGATCATGTCAAAAATAGTCTGAAAGTCGATGATGAAGGTGCGCAATTTTACCCTGTTAGTTCTTCTAAGGGTCTAGTAGTAGAATGATTTTTTTTATAATTGTGAATTTTTCGGTTTCTCTTTGCTAGAACTAAAAAAAATGGAGTCAGACCCCACCTATAACATAAATGTGACGGGGGATATCAAGCAAATGTTGAAGGAGCTTGGAACTGAGAAAGCAAAGGAAATTGCATTGCTTGGAGGAGGTGGAAACAAGGCACAAAACGAAAGAGCAGCTGCTCGTGCTGCCATTTTAGCTGCAAGAGCACGCATCAAGGACAACCAAAACGATAGCATAAATGCCAAGCAAGCCTTCAGTATTGTAGATGCTGCATCTGCTTCTGTACACGGAAGAAGTGCTGCTGCAGCAAAGGTTTCGTCAAGTGATAAAACTACGGCCAGGATAGCCATGCACATGGCTGGTGAGAGGGCCCCAGTTAATGCAAAGATGGTTAGTTGTTTTCCCCAAATTAGAGTTTTTTATAAAGGCAAACACTCTCCGAAAGTAATAAAGAATTGTATGTTTTTCTACTATGTATTAGCTATTTCTTTAGTGCGGGTTATGCTATCTACCCCTCATGTGATTAGCAGTCATCTTTTTCTTAGGCATATGCTCCTTTTTTTCTCCTTATAATTTTTTTGTAGGCGAGTGATGTTTTCCGTCTTCTCGTACTACAAATTGTTTATCTACACATCTGTATTTAAACTTCAAGATTTGTAATTATAAGCATGTAACTATAGTCAGTTTAGGGCGATATTTTTTCTTGATTGTTTAATGTTTAGTCTCATAAGTTATCATTCATTTTTGCCTGTTACATGCTTGTATGCCAAAAATGTTGCATCATCACAAACATGCTTTGATCTGGAAATCAAGACTTGTCATTCCTCTTGAAACCCTTTTCAGGTAAAAAGCCGTTTCACAACTGGTGCTGCTTCACGATCTTTCACTTCTACCTCCTATGATCCAGTTACAAAAAATGAATTTGAATATGTCAAAGTTGAGAAAAATCCCAAGAAGAAAGGCTATGTTCGGCTAACTACCACGCATGGAGATTTGAACATTGAGCTGCACTGTGATATAACTCCTAGGACATGTGAGAATTTCATCACTCTCTGTGAACGTGGCTATTATAATGGAGTAGCTTTCCATAGAAACATACGGTATTGTGATACTTCAGATCCTATGCTCTAAATTTTTATTTGTTATGCAACTACTTTTCATGAGGTATTGCTATCCATATATGCAGGAACTTCATGATTCAAGGTGGTGATCCTACTGGCACTGGAAGAGGAGGCGAATCTATATGGGGAAAGCCTTTCCAAGATGAATTAAACTCCAAGTTGGTTCACTCTGGAAGGGGTGTTGTTAGTATGGCAAACAGTGGCCCCCACACAAATGGTTCACAGTTCTTCATCTTGTACAAGTCAGCAAATCATTTGAACTTCAAACATACTGTTTTTGGTGGAGTTGTCGGAGGCTTGACTACCCTTTCAGCAATGGAGAAAGTTTCTGTTGATGACAATGACCGGCCTCTGGTGAGTGAATTGCACATTTTTCTTCTCCTTGTCTTTAGCCTCTACTTGAGCTGTTCTCTCTGACTCATATTCATTCGCATTGCCTAGGTTCTTTTTATAGTTGATGATACTTAGATACTTTGTTCTTCACATAAAACCAACAGGCCACCATATGTCTTAGCATATTATGCGTACACCCAGAGGTACCAACTTAGTTGACACTGGATGCACGGTTGATAGATATCCAGAATAGTTTTGGAGCCGTGTGCAGCAACCCTCCTGCAACTCTTTTTGTGAATGTGAATGTGATTCTGTTATGTATGGCACCAAGTAATAGTGCTGTAGCTTTATTATTGTTCAATTATTTCATATCATGTTTGAATAGGTTTAATGAAGTCAGTAATGTTTAGAAAGTTGAAAAGAATGTTCAGAAGTGACATTAATATTGGGTTATGTCATAAAGTTGGTCTTATATCGAGAATTATACTTGCCAGAAGGTTTACTCTGATACTTGACTTATCAAAACAACCCAAAAAATTAGAAAAAAAAGAATTTACGCTGATATTTGAAGATTTCAACTTACAGTTTGACTTTGTTTGCATGATGAATCGAGCATCCTAAAAAGATTTGAACCACAGAATACCTAGTATGCAACAGGATTAAATCTCCTCTTTGAATTTGATGTATAAGTAAATAAAAATGGTAAAATGTTCCTGTAAGTTTTATGGCTGCCTGTATGAGAGCCAAACTGCGGTGATACATGTAAACCCTTCAACTTTGTTTGCAACCTGTATTTTTTCTGCTTTAGTTGCTTGGTTCTCTTGCATACAGCTGCACTGGTTATTTGTTTGGGAGTTTGCTGTACATCTTGTTGTTTCTATATGGGAAAGTCATTTGAGGATATTATTCAGCTCATTTCCAAGCTCTACAATTAACTAAAGGCGAAGCTACTGCAATTCATCCCCCATCTTTATGTGTGTACCCTGTATTCCATCTTAGTTTTTGCTGCTCTTGCAGGAAGAGATTAAAATAATTACCGCAGAAGTTTTTGTCAACCCTTACACAGATGAAGATGAGGAAGAGGAAGAAAAGGCTAATGAGGAGAAGGTTGCTGAGGATGAAGAAAATGTTAGATCTTGACTCTTTGATGTTAAAGTTGTTCCCATCTTTGTTCTTTTTTTTTTTTTTTTTCCCACATAATCTCAAGGCTTCTATGTTGTTACATTTTAGGACAAGGTTGGGTCATGGTATAGCAATCCAGGTACAGGAACAATGGAATCTGGATCTGAAGGTGGCGGAGTTGGGAAGTATTTGAAAGCAAGAACCACACAGGCTGAAACCATCACTGCTCTTGACAATGGTGTGTCAGGCATTGCTGCAGCAAAGAAAAGGAAAGTAGGTGTAACAACCAGAGATCTCAAAGATTTTTCTGCCTGGTAAGCCTACCGTAAATTTTGTACAATTTGTAACTTGAAATGTGAGGGGGCTTATGCCAGCAGTGTAACACTTCCATCTGAGGGGCAATGATAATGAAGAAAGGAAAGAGATGATTTTTAATTGAATCACTACACTTTACTTGTATACTGTATTGTACATGCAGTGCATTTCTGTCAAAATGTGTTGGGAATTCTTTTAATTTAAATATTTCTCTGAGCTAAGGTGCAAGTTTTGTTTTGTTTTGTCTGTCTCCCAATCTGTGCAATGCATCCGCAAAGAGCCATCAATCTCTGTCTAGTGATTCATTTCCAGTTCCATATGTGTTACATTTTCTGCTCGATGCCGAGTGTAACTGTATTTTGAGGGCAATCTGATGCTTTCACAACTATTTCTAAAATTAGAAATAGTTGCGAATTCAGCGACCAAATGCCCCTTAATGGGCTGTTGTTCTAATGTTGTCCCCCCTTTTTTTGGGTGAGAAACTACAATATTTGGTGTTTTCCCTTAAATGTGCTTGTCGCGAAAGGCTACATCTTGCTTCTAGAGCAGTAGGCCCCTCAGAACACTATTTTGAGTCTGACAAACTTGTTCCGTACTCCTCTCATCGCGCATGTTGTTGATATTTGACCCTTCTTTTTAGCATCCCCTCCTCTTTTTTAGGGGTGCAACTTGGGTAAGTTGAACAATCAACTCTAGTTTAATCTTAGGTATATAATATTTAATTCTAATCCTAATTCTAATCTTATCGTGGATTAAGAAATTCAATTTGAGCACTGTCCGAGTTTAATTCGGACGGGCTGGGGTTGAATTCAGGCTAATAATTTTGGATTGATTTCGAGTTATTTTACGGGTTTAATTCGGGTTGAGTTCGGGCAGAGCCCAAAATAGTTTTTTTGGTTCTAAACTTAATACATATATTACATAATATTCACCTAAATTAACAACTAATAACTTTAACTAAGTTTTTAATAGTGCTAATGTTAGAACAAAAATAAAAATGAACAAGAAAGACAGAAAACAATAGAACAAAAATGAAAAATCAGTGTTAATGCTTTATATATATATATATATTTTTTTTTTTAATTTGTTGAGTTCGGGTTGAATCCGTGAATCCGAGGCCTTAACCTGAGTTCAATCCAACTTAAATTCGGATTGAAGTTTTTTGACCCAAGCTCAACCCAAGTATTAAAAACTTTTGTCCAAACCTTAATTTTTTCGGATTGAACTCGAGTTGAAATCGGGTTATCCAACCCAAATTGCACCCTACTCTTGCAGTTTTGTTCCTCAAAGGTGGGAATGACAGTCATTTCACGTTTCTAGAGTCCTATTTTTGCTCAAGAAGTATCATTTTAAAACTCTTGCTGCTGCAACTTTTTTCAATATTAAAATCCCAAGTTGAAGTTAATCTCAGGTCTTCTCCAAGCTCATAGGCTCTTATAACTAGCAACATGAGGTCAAATCCTCTCTTTCATGGTAGATAATATTATTTACAAGTTATAATTTATACCTCAAAAAAATTATAATTTAATCTTGAAAAATTAGAAATTTCAATATACATCCAACAGTAGCGTAACATTTCCCATATCTATATATTTGTGCAGGAGTCAATGTTGATTGGCATTTTGGTACAAAATTAAGGGGTTGTTAAAATTAGAAAAAACTCAATTTGATTAAACTACTATCTAACTCTATGGGGTTGTTGGTGCCGGCAGTGCTTCGTCAATGTGGAGGAATGTAGTTCTAAATAATTGATTTCTTAAAACCCCTGCTCGGAGAAGATGGGTCTTAAATTTCCCCAAATTGTCTTTTCCTAGTTTGCAACTTCTTGTTATGAAGGGGATAGAATTTTCATTTTTAATTGTGTTGGTGGACGTAATACAAGTAGTACTTTTTGTACTTATGCTGCTCCTATTTCTTTGAAACTATTGAATTCTTCCTCAACCCTTGCAGAATCTTTCGTATGTCCCTTTTTTAAATGCAATTTGGGGAAAGTCTATGGTACCGAATAGTGATTTTTAGCGGCTGAAAAACGGTTGTAGATCTACCTTGAGATGTGGTAACGGTAACGGCGGCTGAAAAATGATGGTAAATCCACCTTAAGATGTGGTAACCTCATCTTATATCTAGGTGATAATTTTACTTTTATTACTCGTAACTTAACCTTAAATAGTTATAATTTCACAATCAAAGGTAGTAACATAGCCTTAAATAATTATAACCTTACTTTTAAAAATAGTAATTTTACTTTTAATTTTGTAACCTCATTTTCAAAGTAGTAGCCTTACATTTAATAATCATGATCGATCATGATTAATTAAGATCGATCCCAATGCCAATTTTTTTTTTTTTTTGTTATTCAATTCAGTTAAGATCTATCATGATGAATTAAGATCGACCCCAAAGCCAAATTATTAGTATTTTTTTTTTTTTTGCGATTCCACTCAATTAAGATCTATCCCAATGCCAATTTTTATTTTTTTTTGCTATTCCACTCAATTAAGATCTATCATGATTATCTAGGATCTATCCCAATGCCAAATTATTATTATTATTTTTTTGCAAGTTCCACTCAATTAAGATCGATCCTAATGCAAATTATTATTTTTTACATTAAATTGACATGTAATTTTATGAAATTTTAGGTTAATTTTATGAATTTTAAATTTATAATTTTGAATGTTAATTTAATACAATTAAATGTCAGTTTAATGTTATTTTTGATGAATTGAGTGTTGGTTGGATAAAATAAAAAATAAAAAATAACACTAATTTTTAAATTCATAAAATTAACATTAATTTAAAATTCATAAAATTAACATTCAAAATTATAAATTTAAAATTCATAAAATTAATTTAAAATTCATAAAATTAACATTTTAAAATTCATAAAATTAACATTAATTCAAAAAATTAACATTAATTCATAAAATGTTAATTAATTTTATAAAATTACATGTCAATTTAAAAATAACATTAACTTTAAAATTAAAATAAAATTAATTTTTAAAAGTTAATTTTATTTTTTCCAACTAACACTCAATTTATCAAAAATAACATTAAATTAACTTAAATTAACATTCAAAATTATAATTTGGTAGTGGGATAGATCCTAGATAATCATGACAGATCTTAATTGAGTGGAATAACAATAAAACAAAAAAAAATTGGCATTGAGATAGATTCTAAATAATCATGATAGATCTTAATTGAGTGGAATCCAAAAAAAAAAAAAAAATTGGCATTGGGATTGATCTTAATTAATCATGATCGATCATGACTATTAATGTAAGATTACTACTTTGAATGTGAGATTACAACAATTAAAAGTAAAATTATAATTATTTAAGGTTAGGTTATTATCTTTGATTGTAAAATTATAATTATTTAAGATTAAGTTACAAGTAATAAATGTAAAATTATTACCATCTAAATGTGAGATGATGTTACCACGTCTAAAGTGAATTTACCACCGTTTTTCAACTGCCGCTACCACATTTTAAGGTGAATTTACAACTGTTTTTCGGCCGTCGTCGTTTTTTTATTCACCATCGCTCACCACAAACCAGGTGGTACGGTACCCACTCTCCCGCAATTTGGACTCATTCATGTCATGTCACCACCAAGCTCTAGTATTCTGCCAATTCCTTTTTTTTAAGCAAACATACATTCTTACCGCAGGGATGGCAATTGGTTGTACATTGTTGGGTGTGTCATATTAAAACTTCTCGTACCAAATCAACCCACTAAAATGCAAATAGAGATCAGAAATATAGTCAATACCACGAAGAATAAAGAGATATCATCTATACCCAATGAGCGTGTACAGTTGAATTTATGTTATGTCGAATTTATGTCATGTGTAAATTTCGATTAAGACGCATTTAACGAGTTTGTATACTATGTAATCGAATTTGTATAGTTTAATGAATTCATCCGTGTATCTTTCGAATCCACTTAATCGTAATATGCTAAATCAATGTCAATTTTGCCTTAGGCTCACAAGTCATTTTTAGTAATGGGATTTTTTACATTTGGTATGATTTTTGAATCTTTTTACCTTAATTTTTATTTGGATCTAAAAAATGATAAGGACCGAAAATACTCTTACTACATTTTATTAGATACCAAAGGGATTTTTTTTTGCTACATGGTGTTCAAGTTTACACCGATTACTCCCTTTAGTTTAATGGCTGGTCACCGTGACTCGAGCTGGTTTAAAATATGTCCTTAAATGGACAAATGTGGTTAACTATTAGGGAGTATAGAAAGAAATTAAATCTGAGACATTTAAGTTTCTAAAAATCAAATTCAACTATCGAACCACCTTAATGATTACCAAATAGAATTATTACATATATATGATTGTGGTGATTTTCAATACAATGTGGTTAATTAAAATATTCAATTGTTATTGAGTCATCTAACAAGAATGATTGAATCAGTCGGCTTAGAATTGATGTAACTAGTGAAGTTGCTGGGATTTTTTTAAAAAAAATTAACTTAAGGGTCCGACAAATAAGTGTTGTGAAAATTTTTCATTAGATGTATGTGCCATAGAAACGATAGGCTCTAATCTAGTCTAAAAAAAAAGTGAGAATACAACGGAAATATCATAGATTCTCAGAGAGCCATGCCTGAGTAGAATTGTGCCTACCAACCCTAATGGTACTCAAATGTTGAATGAAATCAAATATTGAATGGGTTTGATGAAGGACACTAAGACTTTTTCCTGAGACAGTGATGACACTGCTGCCTGATATCTTATAAGCATCGAATATTTTATTGGGCTGTGGGGGTGGGGTGGACCAGAAGGCCGGCATAACACCTGTGAAAGCTTTCTTGGTTGGTCAAATTGGCCAATTAGAGGGGCTGGGGAATGGGTGCTTTTGAGAGAGACATAAGAATTGAGTGAAATACCTTGCATCCCAAATTTGAAATCGCAAATCAATAACAATCCTTAGATGAATGAGTCTCAATAAAAAAAGTACGGGACTTGCGGATGA